CACTTTTAATAGTGTGGTGGCAAGCCAGTAATGATTTGCAGCATGCTTCCTTGTAAGTACTTTATCAAACCAGCTGCTCGGATCCTGACCTGCTGGTTTGATAAAGCACTCATTGCTCGAATGAGGAGTGTTCATGTGAGTCAGTTAAGTGGGATATTAAATAAGGAGCTGTGCAGAGCTGGAGTGAGCAGCCTCCCTGAGGTGGGCAGTGCTGTGAAGCTCCTTGGGACCTGTTTGCGTTTGCTGCTTCACACCCCTTGCCTGGGCACAGTCTTGTCACCCAACCTGCATGGTGGTCACAGCTGACCAGATGTGCCCCTCCGTGTCCACAGCACCCTGGGGAAGGAGGGCAGCAGAGACTGGACTTGCAGGATGAAGAATGTGTTCTGCTTCTTGCTCTCTACTAAATTCGAGGGGTCTGTACATCTGTTGGCCACCTGTTTTCAAGATGGTGTACCGTATTGCAAGGCAGCAGCTGGATTAATCTGTTTACAGTGACAGTTCATTTTACCTTGTTTCATTTAATTCAGATAGAAGCAATGCTTTTACGTCTCAGAGGTTCGTAGCATCACTTCACCTCACCATCTCAGGGCATGGAAACATGGAAGAATCTCAGCTTTCATTAAGGATTTTTCCAGCCTTTTCCCCTGTCAAAACAGTCTGATATTTATAAATCAGAAATAGACTGACTGTAGCCCTAGCACTACTTCACTGCATGACCAGTATCAAGTGTCAAAGACAGAGTGTTTGTAGGCACATATCGATAAAATAGATAAATGCCTAATTCTAGAGAAGTAAAATAACCAGAGACACAAAATACTAGGAATAATCCAGGAATAATTACCTTTTTTAATGTAAATACTTTAATACAAATTAAGGGGGTGGATAATTTCATTCACCCACGCTTGCAAGTGCTGTCCTAACTTCCTGGGCCTTGGCTGTGTGCAATACTCTGTTAATGTTGTTAATCCTGTGTCTGTCTGTCTGTAAACAGGACACAGGATTGCAGTTTTGAGTGCGCACAGCATGCAACCCTTGGTCTAGTGATCTCGGGTAACACCGCAGAGCCGTGTGTCCGGCTGCAGGGCAGAGAGATGTTTCAGTTCAGTGCGTGGGGTTCTGGTGTTGCCTCTTGCTCCCAAGTTCAGGTCACTGGATCTTTGCTGCTGCAGGCACTTGTATCTAGTTGGATTACAACCAGCCTGCAGATGCTGCCCTGTGCTACAAGTTGCAGAGCCTGGTTTGCTTACTAAAGTGTACTTGGAGCACTGCAAGTCGCAGCACAAGGCAGGACTGTGTCGCACCTACAAGCAGTTCTTGCAGATTTGTACTTCGGTTTAGCATGCCATGTGGATGTTTCTACAGGTTAAGCAGTGGAAGCATATAGATATGGGTTTTAATAATTACAGACCATCTAGCAACTTTGTTTGATATGGGCAGTGAAATCTTCGTGCCTAGCATCAGTGGTGAAGAACCGACAAAGAACCATTTCAAGATTACCTGGCAAATGACTTCTGAAATTGACATGGATGTACCACAGCAGAATGCTGCTTCATAGGTCTATCATAGCAAATGCCTCTTGTTTGCTTGCAATTTAAAGTTTGCACATAGAAAATACAGCTCAGTAAAATCGCATCAGTGTTAAAATCACTCAACTAGTCATTTGTATGACCTGCTACAGCATTTGTGTAAGTATTTCACGCAGAGAAAAGTAATCTTTTAAATAGAAATCACATTATACTAATGAAATGTTTGACTAAAAGCATACTCTAGTCCATTTAGCATAGATTAAAAGCAAAGAATAGAGGAATCTATAAGAAGGATAATCGCTAAACTAGTGGAACCAGGAAATATCTTAAAGTTAACATTTAATTGTTTTATCTCTTCACAAACAAACCATTTCTGCTGACCTTATTATTCTTGACTGTGGTATACTCACAGAGGTCTCACTGATGCTCCTGAGAGTAATATTGATTTAAGGAAAGCTCAGATAAATTGTTACATATCGTACTGCATATTTAAATTACATCCAAAGAGGAGGAGACAAAAATAAACAGTTTTCAGCCTCATTTTAGTCAGTTATTTCATCTGCACAGATCAGACTACTGTATTTGATCTAGCCAAACATACTTAATTTTGTGGTAGTAGGATTTTTTGGTTAAATTATCCAAGTTTTAAAATTTTTTACTCTAGCACTATAGAGTGAAATGCCTGACTGCCATCCGATTAAATAATTTCTGTCAGGAATATAAGTAATTGAATTTCAGATACTCTTGCCAAAACTTAAAATAGGCCAAGTTTGGCCCTAATGTAAGTAGGTACATTTTGTTGGAAGGAGCTGAAATAAGGTAAGTGTTGATATAGGTCTATACTTAGTGTAGGAGAAGGTAAGAAAATCAAAATGGTAAAACAAACTGTCTGTAATAAAATGCCATGACTACATGTTCTGCGGCTTTTACTTTGAAACAATTTCTATCACTTATACATGCACACTTCTTTTGTAAAATCTATCCCAATAGCCATCTTCCAGGATGCTTATAAATATATAACACTCCTAAATGTTTTTCGGTTGTGTATTTGCCATTGCATCTTAGCATCTTGAATTTTTAGGGACCTTTTCCTCATACCACCACCTGAGGAAGTATTATGAAAGTTTACTGGTTTGTCACAAGTCAGAAACTGGATCACAGAGGGACTCACCTACAGTAGCAGAGTAAAGGTGTAAGAAAGCAAGGACCTGAAACTGAGCCTCAGTTCTCTTTTTCACTTTATTTGTTGCCACCTACAAGATGAGAGGAGGCTGCTGTAGTTTCTCGGTTGTAACTACTCAGTGCCAAAAGAGAGCATCTTTAGAGTTTGGACAGCCTCCTCCATGCTTGTTGCCAGGCATGCTGGATGCACAAACATTTTCAAAACTGCAGAAACCAAACTGTAGGTTGTTCAGTTTGTAGTGGTGCTTTTGGATAAGGTAAATTGCTCAGTCTAGACAGCTCTCCTGGGGAAATGACTGTCCATGCAATATTGTACATTAATTTTTCTGATCCCGCCTGAGGTGCAAAGCGTATGAAAACAGTCCAGATGTGTGTTACTTCCTGAATCATTAAGAGCCCATTGCTGCCCAGCAGTGAGCTTTGGAGCCCCTGGCTGTGCATTCGCCCTCACAAAAGTAACCCAGAGTTGAATAACAGCACTGATGCCAAGGGAATGTTGACACTGGGTAAGACCACGGGCTGGTGCTCACAGCATTTCAGGAAAACTGCACAGGAGACCGTTCTTCAAACCTGCTTCTTAGTATTTATGTAGCAGACAAGAGCAAAGAAACACTTGCTTTTGGAGCAGAAAGCAATAAAGTTTATAAAGCCTGTGATGGTCACAGAGCTTAAGGGATCCTGTGTTTGATCCCGGAGTGGGCGTTTACCTGTGAAGATTCAGTTATTGAACATGTTTTTACCTCCCATTAAGTGTTCAGGTAATGGAATATTTCATTCCTCTTTAATTTTTGCTTTCTGCTGCTTCTCACATGCACCGAATCTGTCCAAAGTTGCTTTTTCTTTCTTTCATTTTGCTTTCTGGCAGAGCCACTAAAAGGGCTTAAACGTCAGTGAGTTTCAAGAAATCCCTAAGGGCTCTAGTTTTCCACTCATTTACACCATTGTCAGTGCACTGCGGCATTACTAACCTGGAAGCATTCCTGGTTGACACAAGGGGAGAATCAAATTCTGCCTATCGTGCAGTTCTGAATGTGACTGATACTTGGATTTTGTCGTTGCTGGAAAAAAATAAAATACTGAGAAGTACATCTCTTCTTTCAGGTGATGAAAAAAAAAGGGATTTTTTTAAGCATGTGTCTTCCTCCCTAAGAATTTTAAGATAGTTTTATGACCTGTTTAAATATTTATGTATTATGACTGTTCATTTCCCACAGGATGTAAAAAACCAAAATATGTTTTTGATGAAAAGCCTCCTCTAAAAAACCTCATACAATCCCCCCTCAAAATGTTCTGCTTGACATCATCTGTGTCATCAGTTTGGAAACAGGTAGTAACTTAACTTGCTGACTCTTAGTCGTTTAGTAACCCTTGAGATGAAGAGTGCTGTGAAAGAAATACGTTTATAATTGTCATCAGTGTAGGATTTCTCTAGGGTTGTGAGAATATTTGCAAACCAAATGGTTTCTTCATAAATGTATTAATTACCTTAGCAACATAAAAGCATGCATTATTTGCTTATGAGCATTTTCCTTTCTTGCTTGCTTAAGCATTTGAGTTTTGGGAGAACTGCACTTGTCTTTCGTGAGTAAAATACTCCCTAAATCTGCATTTCTTGTGAGAAATGATGGATGTGCCCCAACAAGACATAGCTTGTGCCTGCATTGTTAAAGACTGCAATATGAGAAGGAAGGGCTAATCCTCTCAGAGGTTTAACTAAACAGTTAAATCTTTTGCATTAATAGACCATCCTGTTAGATATATCTGAAGCAAAGTTAAACTTTATACCCTGTCTGTGGCTGCGGGTATTTGACCTTTACATCACTTTTTTGTTCTAAGCAGTATGTCAGTATGTTACACTGCTTTGATGTGCACGTCCTATGTGCAGAAACCTTTTTCCAGTACAGCTACTGAACAGTGTGTCAAAAGGAACCTATCCTGGCATAAACTGAAGTAAAATAAGTAGCAATAGACAAGGGCAGAACTTGAGTAAAAACAGGAATTTTAGCACCTTTTTCAGATGTCTTTCCTATATTCTACTTCTTACGTGATTTACATGTACATTTGTAATAATTTTGGTAGATGCAGCTGTTTTTCTACTATAATATCTGTCTTGTGTTACAGGAAAATTACTCCTTACAGTGTATTTGACTTGTGTGTCTGACATCAACTTATTCTCCTAGGAGATCTAGAAATGGTGTTCATACGTATTTTCCTGTGGTGCAGCTAGAAGTTTCTATGGTGAACATAGAAATAAATTTTTTCACTTTTTTCTTCCCCACTTTTAACCAGGTAGACAAGAAAATTGTCCGCACAGAAATTGGAGTTCTTCTTCGCCTTTCACATCCGAACATTGTAAGTTTAGTCTCATTCTTTCACTCCACATTTGTTTCTTTGTTGTTTTGTTGTTTTTGTGGTTTTTTTTTAATTACTTCTTTTCCTTCCTGAGAGATGACTCTTGTGGTTCACCTGTACAGAGTTGGGAGAGTCATGGATTAAAGCTTTGGGTTCTCCTCATGAGCATGTTAGCAGCTCGTTATGGAAGACTGTTGAATCATACTTAGACTTTAAAATAAATTATTTATGTTCTGACAGACTTGAGTGACAAACTATGCAAAAGAAGTTCTGTAAAGGGGAAGTTGGTGTTGTCAGTCCTAGGAGGGTGGGGAAGGTCTTACTTTCAGTTACTCTGAAAGATTAAGACAGGTGTTGAGGAACACTAACAAAAGCAGCTTCGTAAACTCCTGTGTTACATGGAGGTTGCTGAGGTATGAGGAGTATGAAAATAACAAAAAAAATACAATGCAAAGGAGATCAAGCTAGCAAAAAAAAAGAGGAGGTGGGAGAGAACATGCACAATAACTTGCTCAACTGCAAGGTAAATGATACACCAGGTTCAGGTAGTACCATCCTCTGCTTCATTGACTGTGGTCTATTTCCTGCTCTTGGCCCTGTGATATGCTCAACAAGAATGCAAATAAGCTAAATGAATCCTTCTTGTTATCTTTTACCAGATAAAACTGAAGGAGATATTTGAGACCCCTACAGAAATCAGTCTTGTTCTGGAATTGGTCACGGGTGGAGAACTATTTGACAGGTAAGTTACCTTTACACACCTCATTCAGTGCCTTCCCCAATGGTCTTACAGTCCAGGTTTCTCCTCTGCACATAATCCTTGTGTTAGTAATGACTGGAATTATTTCATTGGTATATAATTTGTTCACATGAGTAAATATCTGCAGGAATTGGCTAAAAAGTGTGTTTGGAAATGTGATTATTGGGAGATATTTTTTGAAAGGATACATGAGAATGGAGGAAATATTAAATTCTGAAGAGCACATACTATTGACGGAAGATGTCAGCAGGTGCATAGCATCAAAGTGTTCTAGAGCAGACAAAAAGCAGGAAAAAACAGCAAAGTCACATTGACAGGTTATCATAAAATATGGTAGGTAGCAATCAGCCTGCTAGGAGGATAGTGTTATGTCAGATAAAAATTTGGTAAGCAGAGTAACTCTTTGGTATTCATTGTTTTTATAAACCCTCTGATTTTGTTACAAAGGCTCTGTGGGACAACTATTGAGTTCTGAAGGTGTTGCTCATAAGACTGGACGTGCTTGTGGTGTCAGTGCATATGCATAAAGCAAAATAATTCTATAGTAGTGTTGTGATATTTTACTGGTAGGGATTTTGGTTTTTAGAACAAGAGATGATACAGGAAGCATTTGATACTGGTTTGAGTAAATCAATTAATTCACTTGCATTGGTGATTTCCAGCCCATGTAAGGACAGGTCATCTGATCTTCCTTCTTCTGTAATTGAGGTTTAGTATTGCCGAGGACTGTTGCACAAATACGAATCAAAGACTCAGTCTGAAAGCATTTTGAGTTGAGAAAACAAAACCACTTTTTTTTAGTACCATGGCCATAGCTACAACCTTGAGATGAACTATTTCTGAACAATAACAACAAAAGCAACTCCTCCGTTAACATCTTTAGTTCAACATCAAGAAAGGTGCATACTCTCTCAATACTCAGCCAAAGCAATCAGGAGAAATATGCTGCAAGTTAAACAACCAGCAAGCTCCCAGTCCTGAGCTAGAGAAGACCCTGCGCAAGATGCTTTGCCTTTCACACAGCCCTTTATAATTCACGTGGTTTCAGATTGGATAGTATTCAGGAAGACTGGGCACTCTGCAGAAGTCTTTGATGCAAAGAGTTTGCAAAGGGAAAACACAAATATGCCAGTGAAATGGTTAGTTCCAGAGCAGCAACCATCTGTGTGGTAGAAGTGAATATAAAAGACTCCATGGGATCCAGGATGGGGAATTTCATTATTTGATGGAACTAGTATTTAATATTATGACATTTTCAGCATTCTGTAATCTGTACTTAGCAGCAATTATGGGGTTTGAGTTCTCAGATTGATCTTTCCCAAGAATTGTACGCTTCATCCAGTAGTTTGGCTAGGACGAGCTCTCTGGCATTGCCTAGGGAGAAGGGAGGCTGTCGAGTCACTTACTAGAATTGCGGTGCCCTCTTGTGATGCTATGAATGAGCTCTAGTACTGCGAAGTTCTGACTTGAGCATCCCCCTTTTCTCCATATACAACAGAACTGGAAACTTTGGCAACACAGTCCTCTCTGATCTGTGATTTGGAAAAAAAAAACAACTAATGAAACAAAAAACATGAAAAGCTCTTTTCAGCTGTTAAGCTAGCAATAGGAGTATTATTTCACTCTTCAACCTTAAACCAAAAATAATTTAGTTGAAATATGCAGCCAGGATGTTTTGCACTAGTCACTCCAATTAAGCGTTAGCTGTCATTTTCCTCTCTTTCAGCTGGGCTGAAGGATTAACACTTGGCATTGTGCTTTACAGTGGCTGCTGTCTGAGTTTAGTACGGGTAAATTTAGCTGTCTGCCTTAGGGCAGACTTCCCCTCTCATGTTTAATCTTTTCAATCTATAAATCTTTTTGTCATGCATGAA